AGACGTTGTAACACCGTTCCAGTTTCTGCCACACCATCCTCTCATCGTGACCTTTTTTTCTTTTTTGCGGGTTCTCATCCTTGGTTGTTGTGCACACCACAACAACATCTAGGGGCTTTAACATCAGAGGAGCAGTCAGCCATGGCGTCCGCTTCACGCTTCGCATCGTGGCTGCGCATCGAAAAAGGGAGGCCGTGCCACCGGCCCACCGCCGAGCTGTGAGGGAACAAGCCAAGGAAGGTTGAAATAGGTCGCCGGCATGAGTCGCATGTTAGATTAAAATGTGTGAATAAACACACTAAAAGATTGTTATGTACCGCAGATTTAAAATTACCAACAATGGACGCATGGTGGCCGGTGACTTTTCGGAGGATTTGCCACAACCCGGTCTTTGTCAAGCGTGGGATGTCATGTCACAGGGACGACCGTCACGTGTGCATTAGGAGCATCTACAACCGGAAATGTCAAAATGGCCCCTTAAACGCCCGCACACACGCTCGGGCGCGTCCACAGGAAGTGATCGAGCATGCCTCAAATTTTATTTGTTGCATACAGACATCTCATACCAGATTCTTAAATTCATACAAAGACATGCAAACGAAATAAGTCTATGTACTATGTCGATCACCTAGCTACTCATCGTCGGAGCTGTCAACGATCTCCGTGCTCGGCTCCGGTAGCATTGGTGGCAGCTGCAGCTCTGACTCCTCCCGCGCCTCCGGCTGCTCCGCTTCGGCCTCCTCCGCCTTTATCTCCGCGTCGAGTTCGGCGAGAAGCATGTCGGACACCGCCTGCTTCTGCCGGAGGAACGCCCGGTTGGCCTCCACATAGGCCTCATCCTGGATGGCCTGCTGCTTCGCCATCTCGTCGGACTGGGCGACGAAGAACTCCGCGTCCGCCTGCTCCATGTTGAAGGCCGGCAGCTGCTGCTCCGGCTGTTCCGCCTCCTCCGTCTCCATCAGAGCCAACTCCTCCTCCTCTTCCCCTGGCTGCTCCTCCTCCTTTTCCGGCTCCGACGAGTCCGGAGGCAGCCCGACAACGATGCGGGCTGCGCGCGCTGCTTGTCTCGCCCAAATCTCTTGCTGGATGTCAGTGCGGCGCTTCGGTGTGAGCATTTGCGTAGTAGGTGATGTTCGTCCGGACCATGGTGGACCGCCAGAGCGTGGGCAGAGCGCCTGAGAGGGAGAGAGAATTGTGGATGGGCTCGGACTAGCGGCGGGGAGAGGGGGGAGGTAGATGGACTTGTGTTGCGAGACTCTGGTCATGTTAAATAGGTGGATTTGCTCTCGGGTGGCGTGCCGGAGCGGCGCCACGCGGCATTCACACCGTGGCGACGGAGAAGGCGTCCGTCGGACCGCCGGGTTTTCGACCGAGTCCGCGTGGGACATCTTTGTCAGCCCTATGTGCAGGGGCGGCGCTAGGGGTATTCTTGGGTCTTCATGTGAATACCCATAATTTTTATAAAACAGTGTTGATTTTGGCAAAAGAGTGACAATTTTCAAAAAACAGCAATGGTTTTGGCAAAATGAATACACATGAATACCCGGTTGCAAATTTCTGAAGTCGCCACTGCATATGTGGCAGGTGTGCCCGGACGCTCCAATATCTGCCCCATATTTAAGCTGGATATGAGGGATGCCGGTCAGTCCGGACGTTTGAGGTCCGATAAAGGGTACCGTCTAATCAGAAAATCGTGAATGATCAGTGACCAGACGGTCCATCCAAACATATAAGGTGGGTTTTTAAGGCCCCGGCTGTAGATGCTCTCTAAAAGTGGGCGAAGCCAGACCAGAGGAGCAAAACCACCGTGACCACCTCCCTCCCTTGGATGATTGGTGCTACCGCTACGGGGAATCTGACGGAGGATCTTTGCTAACCTACACAACACTCACCGACTGCCAACGTCGTCTGTCCGCAGCGTGTGTGATCAACCAAGACCACGAGCGCGTGTCGCGTGGACGAGCGCCCGTACCACGGGGCTAGGGCACGCGCTCCTCATCATGGTTGCCACTCACACAGGTCGTCTATTGGTCTTGAACCGGTTCACCTTCTCATCATGGGCTTCTTGCAAACATGTGGTAGTGTGTGTTTTTGGCTGATTGGGGATGTGGTCTTTCCCTATGTAATATTGAGAAGAGGATTTGCGGCACGAGTAAGTGCGGGTGACACTCAGGTCCCTGGTGCTAGCTTTTTGTTTTGGCTCCGATTTGAAATAAGATCCATTTAAAATATATTTTGATGATTTTTTTTAAAATGTGAAGTTTAAAATGTTGAAACTTAGTACGAGCGACCGATAAAAATCAATTATTTTGTGTCTATGACCGACAGAAAAAATTGCTTAAAATTATATCTTTGAAACTTGTTGAAACTTTGCATTTTTAGATGAAAAACCGTAAGTTTCATCATTGAAACTTAAAGTTTTTTGAGGGATTTTTTTTACTGCGTCCTCGTGGGAGATTCAACTACTTCACGAATCGCGAGACAAATCGAGCGGATGGCTGGGCTTGGCAGGTGTGTGCCCCCGCAATTACGTGCCCTTGCAAATTTCTGTGTAATATTGCTTCAGCTCGCCTTTTAGCACTAGACTTTTACTCTTTTGTTGTTAGCGATACACGTTGTTTGTGTTGTTGTTGCACAAGGATTATTATTTTGTTTCATTTTTTGTTCCGTTACCTCTATGATAGTGGAAACCAATCCATTTTTTGGATCGTATGGAAAAAACTTGTGATCATCGTGTTGCTCTTCTTATTATCCCTTTTTCTACTTTTATGAGAAAACAGAGAAAACATAAAGGTTTGCGTTTCGATGCATTGATACATAAGATAAAGGGTAGTACTCCCCTTGTTTTTATTTACCCCACATATTAGCTTTGGAGAAGTCGATATGAGCATTTAGAATAACAAATCAATATGATGTGAAAATATATTCAATGGTGAGTCTATTGGTATTAATTCGGTGGTGCATATATTATTGTATTTTTCCATAAACTTGATAAAAAATTATAAAGCTTGACTTCAGACAAACTTTATATGCAAAGTAAATAAAAACAGAGGTAGTACATCACAAACCTAGACCGGCAAACACCCCAAGTACCACGTTGCACAACTTCACAATGGAAACCGCTGGGAGGATCTAGGCAAGACCCATCGCCCCTTCCCTCGCCCGCAGTAGAGCCTCAAACTTGATTGTGTCGATCAGAACATCGATGCTAGGTCGCACGTTCTTGAAGAATACAACATTGCTATGCTTTCGAATCCAACAAAGGTGCTAGCATGATCGCCTAGGAGATGCCCCCTTGTGCATCATGGCCGGGGTGAGCCAGGTGGTCCGCTAACACCAATCTACCAAGTCCTCACTAGCAACCAGAGGCGCAATGGTGGATCAAATCCAAGATATGAACTCGCGCCAAGCCACATGACATGCGAGAAAGCGACCGGTGAGGAGGTGGGTCATGCATGGTCTCCTCCGATTGGTCGCAAAATAGGCGCACACTTACGGCGGCCTTGCAGGCCTCTTGTAGCAAGGCTCTCAGCAGTCCAACACCGCTCTTGGCAAGAAAAAGCCAGATTAAGAACTTCACACTTGATGACACCCAAGAACGTCGGTTCAACTTCCAAGATCTTGAAAATACGCACCTTGAGCAGCAGCTCTACCTTGGGAATGGCTTCGCCATCGAGTCACTGATCCTCAGAGAAGAGGGCGTATGTTCCGTTGCCAACTACCATCAACCATCTTTATTTGCTATGGCACCTGAGATTTGGTTGTATGGATGATGCTTTATTTCAAGAGACAAGTGTTGACAATGTGTTGCTGCAGATAGCACAACAGAACACCAACAACACATTTGTTTCCTTTTCGAGAAAGAGCGCTCCCCCTTCCATATATTTTTCTAAACCACATAGATTTGCTAGCTGGGTGCCCGGGTGTAATCGGGTTTTTGCCCCATAGCAGATGTTTTGATAATAAGCATCCATGGTGGGTTTCCGGCGATGCTTTGAACTCGCTCTCCCCTTCCCTGTCTCCTTTAAACTCGCTCTCCCCTTTCCCGTCTCCTTTAAACTCTTGATGGTTTGTATTTTTGTTATTCAATTAATAGAAAGGGGCTATACCCGGTTCAAAAATAGTAATAATATTTGAAACCACATTGTTTTTTAACACCAGCGGCACGTGCTCTGAACGACAACAACACCACGCGTCCCCGATTCGGACCATGATCAGAAACGAGGCAGGCAAGCTCGGGCAAGGAGGAGGTGCCTGGTGGCGTGTCCTCTTCTGGCACTTGGACGTGCCGGTGCAACCGGCGTCCAAAGTGAAGCTGTTTGCGCCGCTGTCCGCATCTCTCCGCCTTCGTTTTTCCAAATGCCAAGTGGGACGATGGTCACGACTCACGGTCGAGCAGTGACCGGTGATGATTAGGAGATGTGCTTGCTTCACGCGTGTGGTGCGTGTGATTACACGACGTAAAAATACGGTTGCCTCGTGCGTGCACATCCGGCGGGAGTGACAGTTACAGTGTCCTCCCACAGTGCCACTGTTTCCCCTGCCTCCTCCGTGGCGACGTATGCGGTCTGCTGGCCTTGTAATTTTGGCGGGCAATGATCCACAGCCTTGGCGCCCGGCGACGAGGCAGCCAGTGTGCATGTGAAGAGTCGAGCCAAAGCGTCCTCTCCAGCGTCGACTGTCGAGTGTCGACTCGCTCACCCACATGGCGAGGGAATCGCCCGAGAGTCTTCGGAGCAAGTAGGAACTTTGTCCTCCGCCTCCCTCGTCTCGCTTTCGAGCCCATCAATTCCCCGCTCGTCGCACTTGTCCTCCTCGTCCTGCATCATTCATGGCGACGGGCTCCCACCTCTTCCCTACCCGTACCGACGGTGCCACCGCCCCTTCGCTTGTCTCTTCTGCGCCCGCTGCATAGCGCATCCTACTACTAATACTTGCCAAGAAGACGCTGTATCCGCGCCAAGAAGAAGAAGGTCGAACGAGGAGGGGCGGAGAGAGCCATGTCCGCCTCCGGCGCGGTGCCCGGGGCTGCTGCCGGCGCGGTGGCGGTGCCCACGGGGGAGTGCTACTTCTGCGCCGGCGCGCCGGCGGTGGTGTACTGCCGGGCGGACGCCGCGGGGCTCTGCCTGCCGTGCGACCGCCACGTCCACGGCGCCAACACGGTCTCCTGCCGCCACGCCCGGGCCCCGCTCTGCGCCGTCTGCCGCGCTGCCGCGGCCACCGTCCGCCGCGGCGCTGCCCGGTTCCTCTGCTCTAACTGCGACTTCGAGGAGCAGCAGCACGGAGAGGGGGAGCTGACGGAGCCGCCGCCGCTGCTGCACGACCGTGGCACGGTGGAGGGCTACACCGGGTGCCCCTCGGTAGGCGAGCTAGCGGCGATCCTCGGTGTCTTCCTCGGAGACAAAGCGGCTGAGGCGTGGTGGCCTCTTTGGGAGGAGCCCCAGGTGCTCAGCTTCGACGACGTCGTCGTGCCGACCACCGCCTGCCATGGCCTCCAGCCCCTCCTCACCTCCTCCTGTCCCAAGGTTGGTTGCTGACTTGCTGACACCGTAGCAACAGCAAACAGTATCACGCATATACTGTTCACCATCCGGCAAAACGAAAAGGAAAAGAAAGTTCGTTTTCTGATGTTTTTTTACATATGGTGTCTGTGTGTGTGTGCAAGAACCGGAGCTCGCCCTGTGGGGAGCTGGACGGCGAGGTTCTCCGGCAGCTCGGGGAGCTCACCAAGTCGGAGGAGGCGGCAGCGTATGTCGAGGACCCGGAGCCGGCCGGCGTTGATCAGCTGCCTCCGCCATGGGGATCTTCAGATTGCGCCGCTATTGGGCACGGTGATATTGGGACTCCCGGAGCCGAGGCCATCTGCGCGGCAGCAATCCTGCATGTACCTCCGTATCAGGTTTGGAACTTAATTTGAATTGAATTTTTACGCTGAATTCGCTTCCTGACTATCACACGTGCTGTGTTCGTTCGAGCACTATCGAATGCACATGATGCAGTAAAAATGTATGCAGTATATATGACCAGGGCATTAGTGATCTAAACACTCTTATATTAGTTTACATAGGAAGTACTATTTTTTGGCAGGGCATTAGTAGAATACTAGTCCAACCCTCCAACGTAACATCTCCATTTCTGTCCAAGTTGCCGACCACAACCTTTCATCTAGTGAAGGAAAACGTTCTCAACTTGTACACCATCACATAAAAGGCATCAGATCGACAATGACAGGAGTAGCCAAGGAGGATCTTTTCGGTTGCAACCGGCTAGTATACTCCTGTAGTAGTACTAGTCTTAGAGCCATCATTATGATCTTGACATATTTGATAGTGTCACTAATAGGATCTTAATTTCCTCGGTCCGCCAGCCAAAATCCCTTTCAGTACCATGCATTGCAGGTTTCAGTACAGCAACAGTAGAAAATTTGGCAGCCATATGAATGTATATATGATGATTCTGGTCTTATCACACAGCAGCAGCTGCAGGAGGCGTGGATCGTGACGAGTTGCAACGAACTTCCCGAGCAAGTCTCGGCGAGCTCGTCGGCCGAGCCGAGCCTGTCGTCGTTCGTGGAGGTGTCGGACGTCTGCCCCGGCCTGAGCCGCAGCGGCAGCAGCGCCGACGACGCCGCCAACGCCGGGCACGATCACCCGTCGCCTGCAGCGGCACCTGTTGCGGCGACGCCGGCGCAAGCGCAAGCTGCAGCTCAGGCGACCAAGAAGGTCGGCGGCTACGACGTGGTCTACCCTGACCGCGGCAAGGTGATCTCGCGCTACAAGGAGAAAAGGAAGAACAGGATGTACGAGAGATATAATCAGAGGCCAATATATCCGGCAACAGCAGAGATTTTCTTTAGCTCGTCGTGCTGACTGCCGGGTTTGATTTGTTGCAGGTTCGGGAAGCAGATCCGGTACGAGTCGCGCAAGGCCCGCGCCGACGGCAGGGTGAGGATCAACGGCCGCTTCGCCAAGTCGAGCTAGCTAGTAGATTTCGAGGACCGACGACGTACCCTTCTTGGTCTCCGTGGACTGGACGACGACGTTTCTGTACCCTACGAGTACGTAGAGTGGGTGCGAGGGAGCTAGGGGACGGCGTCGATGCTGTGTGACTGTACGACCTGCGTTATG